CTTGTCAGCCCTGTGCCCTGGCTTCTCCCCTCTGTCAGCTCCCGCTTGTTTTCTGTGCCTGTGGTTTTGGCGCCTCTAGAACAGCACACCAGTGGGATCTAGAGAGTCGGTACCCTCCTTTAATTGAACATTTATTAGGATTAATTGTAGGTTCACATGTAGTTGCAAAAACAATATGTGACAGATAATAGCTCCCCGTTCCCTGGAGAACAGTGTCCACCAAAACTGTATGTGGTAAAGCAGCACAGCCAAGGGCATGACATTCACCAGTCCACTGGTCGTGTGTGTGTGTGTGCGTGTGTGTGTGCGTGCGCGCGCGTGTGTGTGTGTGTGTGTGTGTGTGTGTGTGTGTGTGGCGCATGTTCATTGCAGGTGGGGATCATGTGTACAACTGCTGGGTGTGGTGTGTGTACTGGTAATCCCAGCTCTGGGGAGGCTGGGCTAAGACTAGAGGGTTGCTGTCATTTGCTGTCCAACTAGTGTCACCTAATTGGTGAGCTCCAGGACAGTGAGAGGCCCTGTCACTCAAGGTGTTCCACTTGGCTCTGTGGTCACGCATATGCATACATGTGCACACACACACATGTGGAGAAGCCCGTTGCTGAGGTGATGCTTGAGATACCCTTGGGTAAGCACATGGTCAATCTTCTTGCACATACACTAAAAAGAGATGTTTGTTCTTAGTTATTGAGTGGCGTTTGTGATGCCAGCTAGGTTAAGGTGTTAGTACTACTTTGAAACTATTAATGGCTTTTTCTTTGCTTGTTTTGTCATTACTGACAGAGAAGAACACTCAATGCTCTTGACCACTGAGCCATCTCTCCAGCCCCACATGTCACCTTTTTAAGGAGAGATACTTAGCAGGAACTTCTGAACACAAATGGACTTTTGCTCACTCAAGAAGCAAGGCTTATAAATATTAAATACTCTTAATAGCAGATGAGGATTCTGGTCCATAGGCTGTACATTGAGAAGTTGGTTTTGAAGAATACTTAGTTGTTAGAAACCACTTGGGTTGTCTAAGACCACAGCTTTGGGAAGACACTCAGGAAGCCCCAGCGCAGGGAGTGTTCAGCTCGGATGGACTTGTGAGTAATAGATAAAATACCTAGACTGAAATACTAGGAAGAAATTTGTTTCTAAAACATACTGGGCTTTTGTAAAATGAAGACAGCCTGTCCTGGGGCCACCCTAAATTCATGGAAAGTGATAAAGTGCTCAAGAAGGGATTTCATGCAGAGACTACCATCCATACAAACTCTTTAGAAGAGCTGGAGGAGTAGACTCCAGCCACCTCCCTAGGTTTGCCTCAAGGATCATAGCACAGAAGTGCCCTGTCCCCCACCCCCAAGGCACTGTTACCTCTGCAGTAAACCTGGGGTGGGGGTGGGGTGCCAGGCTCAAGCACTGCCCTTGATGTTTGATCTCCAGATCTGCAGGATGCTGCTGGGCTCTTGACTCCAGGAATTAGTCTGGTGATTAAGAAGCTGCTACCTAGACTGTCCCCATGCTGTGTCTGCTACCTAGACTGTCCCCATGCTGTGTCTGCTACATTCACTCCGGGCTGATTGATCCTGCCAGAAGTGAAGTCTCACCTGTGAGGGAATCTGGGAAATGAAGTTCTCAGCTTTTTAAAGTCTGTAGCGTAGGAAGGCCTGCCAGGAAGAGACTCAACGTATACAGACAAAAGTCATCTAGTTTATGTATTGAAGGAAACCCCGTGTCAGTTAAGATCATTAATAAGAGTTACTTGAGTTTATAAGGCACATGGGGCACTAGAGCTCTAAGTAGATTAATAAGACATTTAGGAGAAAAGGGAATCAAAAGATGGTGATTGATTGGATGAAGGCGGCGTCGGAGGAAAGAGATACCAGATAAGACAGGAAGGAGCCAGACTGCTCAGGTTTTGGCTAGAAAAATTGGCTAGTTTTCAGTAGTTTATTAAGATATGAAAGATTGAAAGGAAAGTTAATGGGAGGAGGTAAACCATGGATCATTCTGTACATGTTGATTTTGAGAATGTATAGGACACTCCAGTGTCCCAGCATAGAGATCACTTAATTTACAAATACACTTGCTCATTTGCCGCAGTGAGGCTTAGATTATAGGTTATAGATTAATGCTCGTGGCTGAGGTCAGTTCATTTGTCTATAGTGTCAAGGAAGTCTAGAAATACAAAAGTTACCATTCTTAAATTTTAGTTTCCTGTTTAAGCAGACAGGGGTTTACTATTAATTCCCTAATCCTATTGTTGAATTTTTTCCCTGAAAGGACTCCTGGGGACTCTGTTCCCTCCGTCCTTTCTTGTTTGAGGATGTCTTCATGCTTAAATTATTGCTGAGTAGAATTGGGCTAGGGATAGTTACCTTGGCTGTTCTTCCTCACCAGACTGTCTGCTTGGTACAGCAGCACTCCTCCTCCTTCCCTCCTCCCCTTCCCTCCCTCCTCCCCTTCCCTCCCTCCTCCCCTTCCCTCCCTCCTACCCCTGCAGAGGTTCACCATTCTCCAGTTCAGTGGTCTCTTTGACTTGTTAGGATTTTGTATTTCCAGTTCCTTCTTCCTAGGCCACTGAGCTCCTGGTGCCTTTTCTTTTCATGTGTGTTTGCTTTGCGATTGCACTCTGCCTCCACTGTTGAAATTGTTCTTGTTCCTTCCCTCTAATCTTCCTGTGGTATATCCCTCCAGTTCTGTGGCTTATTTAGCTTATATATGAAAGTGGACACGTCTCAGGCTGTTGAAACATGGTGTGTGTTAGCTCTCCTCAACCCCTTTGTCATTGCTTCTTTTCTTCCTTCTAGGAAGAGTTTGGGGATGGAGTGTTGGTCTTGTTTCTACTTTTCTATAGTCTGGAGGGGAAACCTTTAAGTGGGGATAAGCTCATTTGACCTTACGGGTTCTGCTGCTGTCTTTGAATTTCATTTGCAGGATCACAGTCGTCTCCAGGTGTGTGAAGTCAAGTGACAGGAGGTGTTGGGAAAGGTTTCAGTCATCTGTAATCTCAATTCCTGGTGGGTTTGGTCACTTAGGTTTCTGTGTCCTGCTGTGCTCTGATCCCTTTGCCTTCACTGAAGCCCTGACATCCTAATGGTGAACAGACAGACAGACAGACAGACAGACAGACTGGCTTCTGATGGCTGGAGCTTTTCTCTATTCTGGTTCTACCTTGACCTGGCTGACTCCTTCATCCCTGACTCTACTGTCTTCTAGTGAGGAGGACTCTCTCTTTACCTTCTTTCTCCACAGTGGTTGGAATGGTCTGAAGATCTGATCCTCGATCTGCTGCCCCACACACTACAGAGCTCTGGGCTCCACTTGAAAGGTTCAGCCGTTAGGTCATGCCCTCCATTCGTGTGTTGCTGCTGTTGTGCTCTGCGCTTGTTTTTTGGTTTCTTGTTTTAACCTGGGCTCCAGCTCTGGGAGACATTCTACAGGCTGCCGAGTCACACCAGCGCCCCAAGTCCTTCCTGAAGACTTCAGTCTTGGGTTTTTTAAGGTGTGTGTGTGTGTGTGTGTGTGTGTGTGTGTGTGTGTTACTGTTGTGAGCTCCAGAGCAGCAGGGTTATGATGCTGGTGTCTTACTTGTATATGAAATTAGAATGTACAGGGGTTACTCACCAGTTCTTTTAATTCATTTGCTAACGAGGAAGCACATCCAAAGGCCTGAGCTGCAGAGTCATACTAATCACAGCATAGTCAGGGCCTATGCTATTTTTACCACACCCCGTTTCTCCCCTCCATCCCTCAGAACAGTGCCTCACTGTGTCATTAGTGTTCTACTAACCTTGTTACGACACTGATCGTGCTAAGTAGAAGCCAGGAGTAGGAGAGCAGAAGCACAGTGCTACGTGACTGAAGCTCTGATCCTCAGTTAACCTCAGCGTGTCTTAGTAATGGGAAAACTGGTGATGGATTCCACTCCTGTCTGGTATACAGGAGACTCCCCAACTTCCTCCATCAAATCAGACTTAATTCCTTCAAGTCTGGCAGTGGGTACAAGAATTTCCATGTAGGAATTTAATATTAGGGACCCTGTTCTCACCCCTCTAAGTCACTGTCCTCATTCTGTGCTTTGCTTTTTTTTATTTCTGCCCTGGTGACAGAATATCTTTATTATGGCCTCCTTTGTCCAAGAGTGAGTCCTTGACCCTTTCATAACCGTCTTGTATTTAGCTGAGGCCAGGCTGGAACATTCAAACGAGGCTTCACTGAAAGATCTGGATAACGGCTGAAATTCATAGTGTTGTTCTATATAATTGGAACATCCAGAAGCCTCTCGCCTCCCTTCCCCTATACCACTAAGACACAACACAGGTGCTTAGTTAGGCGGTATCCTTTCTCAGTGCTAACACCCAAAAAGGTGCATGCATGGACCTTTAATCTCAGCACTTGGGAGCTGAGTTCAATGCCAGCCTGGTCTACAGAGAGACTTCCAGGACATCAAGGGCTACATAAAGATAATCCTGTCTCAAAAGGGGTCTGGGGAGAAAAAGAAAGGACACTCTGGGGGTATTTGACTCCTCCCTGTGGCCTTTGTAGCACCCAGTCTCTCTAGTTGGTTTCTTTCTCCAACTATTCATTCCTACCCAATTGCTTGAGACAGGTCCTCTATAGCCAAGGCTGACCTTGACCTTGCTGTGTAGCTGAGGTTGACCGTGAGTTTGTAATCTTCCTACCTCCACTTCTGGAGTGCTAGGTTACATGTGTGCACCGGACCTTGTGTGTTTGGTAACCACTATGAGAGACACCCTCAGCCCCTCTGAGCTGCTTTGTAAATAGCAGAGGCGTAAGGGAGCATGTTCAGGATGAGCACATGGCTTTCCTGTGACCTCAGCAGAGCAGCTTTGTCAGGACACTGAACCCATAGCAGCCACTTGATAGGTAAATCTACATGTAGGAAGGAAGGACAGACTAGGACAGGATGAGAAGATACTGAGGGTAGCCTGTCATTTGCCTGTGTGTGTTATGAGCAGTTTAAGCTGACATTCTTTTTCTCCTCCTAGGTATCATGAGCTCATTACAAAATACGGGAAACTGGAGCCTTTGGCAGAAGTGGACCTAAGACCCCAGAGCAGTGCAAAAGTGGAAGTCCACTTCAATGACCAGGTGGAGGAGATGAGCATCCGTCTGGACCAGACCGTGGCTGAACTGAAGAAGCAGCTAAAAACTCTAGTGCAGCTGCCCACGAGTAGCATGCTGCTATACTACTTTGACCACGAAGCCCCATTCGGCCCAGAAGAGATGAAGTACAGCTCCCGAGCGCTGCACTCTTTCGGCATTAGGGATGGAGATAAAATTTTTGTGGAATCAAAAACAAAATAACCTCTACCAGCCTTGTAAAAAACTCACATAAGGACTTCCTGCAGGGTGTTTGTTTCCAGCGTGCTTTTCTTTAGGAGGAAGGACATTTCTGTTTTGTTTTGGGTTTTGTTTAGCTTTGGAGGGGTTTTGTATATTTTCTTCCCCTAGAGTAGATAGGTTTTTGGTATTTTCTACCACAGATTTTTTCAGCTCAGTTAGCAGACATGGCTGCATCTCCAGTCTTTACGTGAGCTAGCACTCGCTCGCTCGCGTGTTCTCTCTCTCTCTCTCTCTCTCTCTCTCTCTCTCTCTCTCTCTCCTACCCCCCACCCCCAAAGATGACAGAGAAATCACCGACTTCTTACTGTGTCGCTAGGGTTTTGTCAGCCACTGGGCTCTTTCCTGCTAAGCCCAAAGACAGCATGGTCCCTCAGAGGGGTGATGCACAGTGTTCACATCCAGAGATGGGGTCTTCCCTGGGAGGGTCTTCTCTGGTTCTTCCTTCCCTGCCCTCCTCCTCCTCCTCCTCCTCCTCTCCATTCTGGGGTCTGGTTTTCATTCTGACTTGTACCTGCTTACCTGGTAGTTTTACTCTGTTCATAATTTAACTTGGTTTTGTTATTGTTTGTTTGGCCCCCCCCCCTCATTCCCAGTTTTAAATGGTTTTGAGAATTTTAAGTGTTTTAGCCTGGTTCTGATCTCAGGAACTCAGTTAGGTTTTAAAGAGACATGAATGGAGTGTTAAACGTAGGAGACTCGCTGTTCTCCTGGAAGCCTGGAACGGGCACTTGAGCCTCTCCACCACCACCCCACCCTGGAAGCCCCTCCAGTGTTAGATCACTGTCACTCCCGTTACCTGGCACCCAGCCTGTTCTGGGGGTCTTTTCTTAATGTTCAGCGAATGTACTTCCTGACAGCTTTATCACATAAGCTATTGGAAATAACGAGTCCTGGGTACGAGCTCCTTAGCAGAGCCTCGGCTGAGAAGCTGGCCAGGCGAGTGAAGGCCGTGGTGGGATTGGGGGAGAAAGAGCCTGACGCCTTTCCACCTGTGCGTCATCCTTCTGAGTGAAGCCCTGTCCTTGTGCTCTCTAAGGTGTGAGATTTTAATCACGGGGCTGTGGTCCCACCTTTTTCTTGGGACTTTGTGATGATGTAATTGCACAGCTGTTTTTGCTTTGTGTTTTATGTCCCCTGTGGAATGACTTTTGCCTGATCTGTGAGTGAATGTTCAGTGCCCCCTCGCCCCAGGTGGTTTTGCAGGAGTGTATGTAAAGCACCTGACCTTTGACACTGGTCCCTCACCTACTCTTCTACTCTGAAATCGTTCTTTGCCTTTCCATTCTTTGTTAACCTGGTTATTTTCATTGCGGTTTGGTTTTGTTTTGGCTTTTAACATTTGTTTCGTGATTCCACCCCTCCTACAAACCTAATTTCATGTAGACTCTTTAGGTGACCCGTGTGACCTCTTCACGGATGGGGAGTTGTATTCTTTAAGTCCCTCCTCCGCCATGTGGCAGGGGTTCTCTTGCCACTGCACTTCAGGTTCGGCCTCTCTGAAGCTGCTGGCCCGGGCCTCCTGAGGCAGGCCCGCATTCACTGCAGCATTAAGGGTGAAAGCCAAAGGGTTTAGAAGGATGAATGAAGCCAGTTCTCCTGCTGCAGACTTTGTCTCAGAATCCTAAAAACAAGCAGTGGGGACCAGGCCAGTATAGACAAGGACAGTTATTTTGCAATCGCATTTTCTTGACAGATTTTTGGAAATAGAAAAAAAAATGTGGCAACCGTGTCCGGCAGGTGAAGACTGTGGATGCTTGGTGTGCATGCGCGTGAGTGCGGAGGAGTGTGCAAGAGAAACTGTAATGGAGACTTGCTCTGTCAGCCTGGGAAACAGTTGCACTCTTATTTTTGAACTTTGGAGCCACTACGGTCCCATGGCAGAAGGCAGAGTAAGCACTCACACTTCGGTCACAATGAGCTATTTTATATATGACAAAGTTTTATGAGAGGCTTTTTTACTCTTTGAAGCTTGTATCTTCTGTTCTTACTCGACAGTGTTTATCGGCTGCAGGCCTAATGCTTTATTACAGTTGCATGTGAAAGGAACAAACCTCTCATCCAATCCAACTGGCGTAGGTATTTTTAGGGCATTGTAATTGGTGGTTTGAATCATTGCCGAATCATTTCCAATTAAGAAAATCTTAAGTACAATCCTTGGCCTTTTAGAATTAACAGAAGCAAATGAGGAAGCCGTTTCAGCATTCGTGTTTCCAGATTCATTTGGGGGGCTGAGTAAAGAAGCTGGTTTCGAAATCAAATCGGTGCTGTGTAGACATTTATAACCAAAATTATTTTTATAACAGACCCAGAAGGAGGAGAGAAGAGACCGCAGACCTTTGAGCCTGCGTGTTATCCATCATGCCTGTCTGTATTTAATATTGACTTCATCAGATTGAGTGGGAGCATATTGTTGACAGTTAGAAGGGAAAAGCTGTCCTCACTGGTATTCCAGAGGTGTGCCTTCGGGCACAGCAGGTAGATCATGCCTTTCTAAAGCAGAAATTCTTTTCAGTTGTGGGAAAGAAAGGAGTAACGCAAGAAAGCCAAATCCAAACCCAGGGTCCTCCCTGTGGGCAGAGCTCTGAAGCTGTGTTCCAAACGGATCTGTTCGTTTGAATTGTTGAGGTATCCTGGATTGCTTTAAGGAGAAGGTGGGGGAGAGGCGTCCATAGTTGCCTTTTTCTGCAGCCCGTTGCCATGAATGCATAAGATAGCAGCAGAGACGAGTGCCCTGTGTTCTCAGAGGCCCTCTGGTGAAGATGAAGCCATGTAGCAGAGGGCTGTAGTGCTACCGCCAGAAAAAGAAGGAACTACGTAAGGGAAGGAAGGGCAAATGCAATTCCAATGGGGATTTTTAGCCATGCCACCCCACCAGCCATGCTGGGAGCAGAGGACACTTGGTTGTGCAGTATTGATCACTATGGGAGCCTTGCCACCAATAGCTTTTCCTAACACACATGGGTGTGGCTCTCCACACTGTAGCTTAGGCCCCCGGCCAAGTACAACATGACTCCAGAATGCTCTGTAGTTCTATGTACTGTCATTTCTGTTTATGAATTTCACTTTTCCCTTCATCTCATGTAAGACTGAAATGCAAACAAACTGCTTTCAAGAATGGCCGGAAGCTCTGTGTCCCCAAATGTTGTTGTGACTCTACCGTTTTTCATAGGTGCTTCCTTCAAATGTCTGTTTATTCTAGTGACAGAGAGAGGACTGGACTCTCAGGCCCTTTACAGTTGTCTCCTGCAGTTAATGGAAATATAAATATAAATATATATATATTTTATTTTAGAATATAATTTAAACATGAAGGTCTATTCTTTGCACTTTTTATTAATATATATAGAGAGATAATCTTTAAAAAAAATTAAAAATCCAAGTCCGTTTACTCCTCGTGTTCTGAGTGTTTCTTCTGGAGCAGCAGGACAAAAATATGTGGTGGTTTTTATACAGCTAAAGATAAACATTAATTCTGGGGGCACCTTCTTGATGAGATTGGCCTAAGCTAGTAACAGTCTGGCCATCTTGCCAAAGGTAATGGGAATTTCTATGAGGCTGAAAAATCTCAAAATTTTTCTTTCAAAAAAAAAAGGGTTTATTTTTTAGCAAAAGTTGAGGTTTCTACACTGTTTGCTTACCCTTTGGAGACCATCTTTCTGTTTAGCATCCTCTTTTATTGAATAAGATTGAAGTTTTCATTTTGGTAAAATAAAAATTTGCCAGTTTTTATTCAAGGGTCATTTTTCTTCAACAGATAACTTTCTACTGGTTTGGCATTTAGAGGACATTTTATGATTTGTTTATCAACCATTTCTTGGTAAGCTGCTAGAAATTAACATTCGTTTGAGAATTGAGGACCAAGGAGTGTGCTTCTGCACTCTGAAGCTAGTGTCCATGGAGTTCTCAGGGTACTTCAGAAGCATGTAGGTGTGTGCTCGACTGAAGGTTAAGATGATTTCTGCTTCCTGTTCAGAGAACACATAGCATGCCCTCAGCTTTCGGGCTGAACTCTACCTAACTACCATTTAGCTTCTCTAAGTACTGAAGAGATGGATACGCATCTAGGCATCCAGCCTTCTGCCTGCCACTCTCCCTCCTGCAGCCACTAGGTCACAGGGCCACCCTGAGGTCACATGTCCTCTTCCAGCCCCTCTGGAAACGGAATTCCCATTGCTTTCCTGGTTGACTTTTGAGGTGGGCACTGTTGTGCCTAGGTTTTCTCTAATGAGGGAAATGGATGCACAGATAGGCTGTTGACGTCCAAAGTGACAGAGTTGGTAAATGACACTTGGCTCTAGCCAGTTGACAGCTGTGCATAGTGCTGGGGCTGAAACCCCGCCTTCCAATGCACACCATCCTTAATCCTCGGGTACTGTAGAGCACTCCCCCCATGAGACCGTGTTCAGTGTGAACTCGCTCGAAAACAGAATCACCAGTCCACCGAGATCCCTGCTGCTCTGAAATGCCATGTTGGGTACTTGTCATTGATCCTCTTGGTAAGAGAAAATAATGTGGTAGAGACTGGTAGCTTGGCTTTTAACCTCAGGTTATCCTTAGTTTCAGTATGGAGCCAAAGGTGGGAGGGGCCACAGTTCCAAGTGAGATTAATGTCATGGACAAGCCAGAGTTCCAAGTGAACCACAATTGGTGTTTGTCAAGGAAAGGGGGAAAACACACTTCTAGCCCCGTGGAGCACTTATCAGAGGATGAGGCCGCTGTTGTTTCTCCCTGGCTTTCACGGAGGGGAATATTTGTATGTAAGCAGTATAACTGTTGCCTACAAAATAGAGGAGACAGGTCATCTACTCCACCTGCAAGATTTAGGTCTGCCAAACCCATTCCAATGCAGTTTGAGTGTGTGGAGCCCTTCACAGCCTCCTCCTCCACGTGTGCTTTTTGATCACAGGAGGTAACACAATCACGGCGTTAAGTGAGAAAAGCCATGGGAGAGACAGGAAGGAGCTAAAGAGAAAAAGGCCACATTTGAGGGCAGGTGTCTGCTTTACTCAAGAAATACAGCAAGGGTGATGCAAACTGCGCTATCTGCTGTGTTAAAATTCAGCTTGTTTCATATTTTACATTACAAAGAGATGACATTAAGGTGTCCAGACCTAATTTCCAAACAGGAATCTTTCACGAGGTTCAAAACTCCAGCGGCGTAGGATAGACTCTGAAAGGCCCCGTCGTGATAGCTGTACTTTGTCGTTAGTTTCTTGTGTCCTCCCAGAGTTCACACAAATAACTGCAAATCCAAATACGCATTCTAACCACTCTCGTCTTACATAGCAAAGGGTACGGAGTATGTATCATCACAAGCCTTGCCCTTTTTGTTCGTAAAGTGTATCTTGGAGCTGTCTCTGTAATAGGACATTGAGAGTCATCTTAGCCTGTTTATACAATGTAATTATTCATTGTATGCACTGATCTGTCTGACGACTACCTGGTTCCCTGACTCTCTCTCTCTCTCTCTCCCTCTCTCCCTCCCTCTCTCCCT